CCCATCTGTAATCAGTGCAGCTCATTACTGACTTAGTCATTATCTGTAGCCAGTTCACCCACATAAACATATATAAAGCAAAGGATTTGCTAAGCAAGAGTACTTACATCATAGAAAAAAACAAACAAACTATGGCATCAGTCCAGTCCTCCCTGTGTGGCCACTTCTACTGAGACGTCCTCTGATCTATGCTAAAATTAGACAATTTATCTGTAACACTTGCTCCTTTATACAAAATTTAACCATTAAACATATGACGGAAAAGTCACACACAGAAAGAATATTGAACGCCAGTAGTCTTCAGAGGCCTTTTACTGATGATGAAGCAATGACATATGCTTGGAGAAACATGGCATACTCAGATATCCATTGTAGATGCCTTTTATTGGCATTTTTCGACGTAATTTGTTGTCTTACCTGGCAAATTTCCACCTCTTATGGCCAGCCTGTTGTTCTCACCTGGAAAGACAACACACAGGTATAAATATACTGCAAAATACAATCAATGAAATGTACGTTATGACTAAATGTGTAGGATTATCATATTAAGGTCTCCGCTGGAAAGTAGCAATAGTAGGGAAGAGGAAAAACAACCCCAAAAACCCATCACAGGCTTCTTCCCTGACATGACAATCTGTCCATCGCAGAATCAGATCACTTTACTCAACGACCAGTCTGCCATTTTGATATCACTTGTAAATAGTCTTTGAATAATAAAAGTGCCTCCCTGCTGCATGAGAAAAGTTGTTATGATTATCACACAAGCTCAGTGGACATTTACTCCAACCAGCAATCAATACAATATTGACATCTAACCTTTCCATACTGATGATATTAGAACTGAGCTGAAGCCAGGCTGGAATATAAGCATTGATGTCAGCACCACTCACTCAATAAGTACTGTATAAGATATAGGGAAATACAACACCTTGTACAGTATGGGTGAATACTGCCGACAGCTTGTCAAATACTAAGCACAAATAATATTTACTCTGGGTAAATATCTAATTTTGGATAATTTGAACCACTTTTAAATCAATCTTTTTTCTTTAAATCAATATTATTAGTGGAGACTTTTCCTATTTATCTATCATATATGGTCTAAGACAAATCATAATTTGAGTGCTTTAATAATAATAACAGAATAATACATAATAGACATGGGTAAATATCTAATATTGAATAATTTGAATGACCTTTAAATATTTTCTTTCTTAAAATCAATCTTATTATTGGAGACTATTTAAAATAGACTAAGCACGAATAATACAAATCTTCCTTTGTATATTTTAAATATCTCTTGCACCTACACCAATATATAAATACATGGCGTTTGCCTTCTTATAAAACTCACTTTAGATAAATTGGCAAGTTCCCCTTCTACTTTACACTTAGAAACTAAAAGTACACCCAGTTAATGATGCAGACTGAAGAAAACACTTTTATTTATAACGCTAAAAAAGCATATTTACCTTATTTAACTTGCTAACTACATCCATTTGTACAACACAAGAGTGTTTTGTTTTCTTGCCTCACTTTCACAAAAACAGAAAAACATGACGCAAAAACAATCAGAATGTAGAAAACAACTTATTGGTCTCATCATATCCTCCCCCACATTCTAATAATTGACTGTGTTTTGGGTTGTGTCAATAGCATACTCAACACAACCACATGGTCCCACTGCTACCACATGTTATTATGCCAAGTCAAACACATACCACCCCCAATATTGATTACGATGATTCTATGACACAGTAGCCATGTTCACTTTTTGTTTTCTTTTTTTAAGTCAAGTAGGTGGAGTCATTCAGCAATCTACAGTATTATTTTGAAAACATAATTTAAAGACCTTTTATTTTCCATTGTTTTAAAACCACAATATTTATGAGATCTTGTTATATAATGTTGTCATCAACATGCTACTTTCAGGCAATTTTCTCTTCAATGTTGTTTCTGACTGGTGTACTACTTGGTTAAGGCCCCTATTTCACACAGACCACGAATCCCAAGAATCTCCAGGAATTGACAAATTTTAGGATTCGTGAGGATTCGTGAGATTTTGCCAATTTTCTGGTCTTATTCGACACGCTCACGATTCAGTTATGATACAGGTGCAATAGTGTTACGAATATTCATGGGATTCGGCTGGAATCTGAGATTTTGCCAAATTTCTGGTCTAATTCGACACGCTCTACGATCCAGTTACGATACAGGTGCGATAGTGTTACGAATATTCGTGGGATTCGGCTGGAATCGTGAGATTTTGCCAATTTTCTGGTCTTATTCGACACGCTCTACGATTCAGTTACGATACAGGTGCGATAGTGTTACGAATATTCGTGGGATTCGGCTGGAATCGCACGAATATTGTCCAGAAACTCACTACGATTTTTTGGAATCGGGAGTTCGTGGCCAAAACTATGAACAGCTCAAAATTTTTGCCACGAATTCCCGATTGATCAAGAATTGCAAGAACTTACTACGATTATATACGAATCTGTTAAGAACTTCACGAACTGATTACGATTCAACCAAATTTTCAATTCCTGGCGATTCATGGGATTCGTGGTCTGTGTGAAATAGGGGCATCAAAGTTTTTGCCACCCATTCCTGTTGGTCAAGAAGTGCAAGAAATGACTACGAATATATACGAATCTGTTAAGAACTTCACGAACTGATTACGATTCAACCACGAATCGTGAAATTTGTCAATTCATGGCCATTCGTGGGATTCGTGGTCTGTGTGAAATAGGGGCATAAAGCAGGAACAAATGGCTAAATCGTAAACGTTAATAAGCACAAAATTTAAGCAAAATGTCTGTTCACAAACATCAAGTCCTCAAAAACAGCAAGCATATTTGGTGACTAATGATATATGATATGTATATGATACAGATCAGTCTGAAGTCTGAACTATATTGAGTTGCCTTCTGTGCATTTTGTACCACTGAGTAAATTATCATAGTTGGTCTTCTTACGACAAAAATTGGGCACTGACAATTGGGCACAAGACAATCTTCAACCATCAAAAAACTTGAATGTGCAAAAGGCACATACTTTAAAACCTATAACCAAAGTTAAAATTGTTAAACAGACTGGCTCCATTTTCCAAAAATTGGACAGGAAATGCATTTCCAAAATAGCCCAGTGAAGACAAAATTTTGACTCAGTATTTAAAAGTATGCCATTTTCATGTCAGATCACACTGATATTTTTCTCACAAAAACATACCCGCATGGCCTCAGTATTAAACATATTACCACCAGAAGAGAATATAATTTACTAGTAAAGATCCCTGTGATAAGTTACAGAAGCTCTACAGATTTTCATCAAGTCCCAGCCCAGTGGCCTTTTTAGGCCCACCTTTTACTTCTGAACCTCAGCTGCCTTATCAGCTCGGACTCATACACTGGGCATTCCAGAGAGGCTGAGGCATATGCTAATACGTCTAAATCCATCAGATATTTAGATTCAAGTGCCAGAGAACTTTGCATATGCTCCTTAGCATCTGCACTTCAGACAAATATTTGTCCACCTCTTTGCTTCAAGATTTTGCACATAGAAAGAACTTCCTCGCAATCAATATAAGCAGAACATTGAATAACAGGCATGGAGATTTAGCACTGCTGGGCATCTGATGAGTGGAGAAAGTGAGAGAGAGTATGGATCTGGAAAGTAAGCTTCAAGTGGCAAAGTCAATACTACACATTTGCCTAGATTTCCTGGGAAAAACACAGAAAACCACTTGCTTCTCCAGGTCTTCGTCTCATAGCTCTGAATATTTAGAATTGGTGTTATTATTGTGAAACCCTCTGCACTCCTGAGTAGTGGGTTTTGCCTCCAGAATGACAACACTACAAGGTCTATATGTCAGCAGGCACTGCTGTGTAATGTCAAGCAGGGCCACCACAGACACTTGACTGGTTCTGCTACTGTGGCTTTCTTTTTTTCACTCTGTACAGGTAGCATCTTTTTTTCTGCATACACCAATAGCATGTTTCTCATTTTTAATAAATCTTTTTGTGTGTCCAAAAGAAAGATCATTCAGATGAACAGATCATTCACTTTCGTAAAGCAGCAAAAAGTGAAAAATGGAAAGTACCTTTTTACATGTTTAATTCTACCCATATAAAATCTAATTAATCTTCCATCTGATCCTGAGCAATACAAATTGCACTTATGCAGGATTCAATATAATGCAATCTACATAATACTAAAAACACTTCCATGCTATATTTTTTGTAGGTTGCAAAGTTAAGAGTCAGAATAAAAAACAAAACAAAACCACAAAGAACACGACACACATGGTTGGTAAAAGACATGTCTGTTCATAAAAATGGGATCCACAGAAGTTAGTGATGCTCCTAAAGACAGAAATCCCTTTAACATAAACTGAAATTAAAAAGTTAATGGTTTCCAAGAAAATGGACTGATGCTAAGTTGCTTCGATAATTTTGACGAGCAGTTTCCTCATGGAAATAGTTCCTCGGTCATGACTTTAATGCGAGGGTGGCAGCATATTTCTGGGCAGATAAGGAATATCTTGACATTTCATGCAGGTAGGTCTTCGCGGACTTAATTGATGTTCTGAAACTGAATCACCAAGAACACTCTCTCCTAGCACTGCAAATGCTTTCCTATTCCTATGGCAGCCCTTTAATGCATTTGGTGCTTAACAAAATGGCCTACTTTGCCCAGCAACTTTATAAACAACATGGGATTAATTAATATTTACATAATCTTCTGTAAAGGTCCCTCCTAATCTTCACTCCTTGAACAGCATCTTTTTTTCCTGCAATGTGTTTAGTCTCTAAGCTACTGTAGAATTCAGCATCTGTCTTCACTTTTAAGTTATGTAGTAGGTCTCCAACCAGGCACAAGGAGTATGCAAGTCTACTTGGTAATAATCCATTTTAGACACCCCTCCCTCTCTCTTAAAAAAAAAAAAAAAAAAAAAAAAACCCAGCACTAGTGTAAACAGCCCAGACACCTGAGCAAAAGAACTTAATACCTTCAATCAATCTAGAAACAAGAAATTAAACTGCATTTTTCTTACCTACTACTCCACTGCCTGTCATAGAGATTGCTATCCTAAAATCTACACCCGTCTATTTTACTTATTCAATTAATCATAACTCCTGCCTCATCCTCATGTACAATTTTTTCAACAACTGCCCAAAATAATCAAATTTTGCTCGAGAATATGCTAAAGCATTTGAACATTGTTTGTCATTGATGTTTCATTAAAAAGAATTAGTTGGCTGACATTATTTACCCACGATTCATTAAAAGAATTAGTCGACTGACGTTCATCATGCCATGGGGCTGAAACCAATATCATGCTAGAATGAACCTTGTCATTCCTTCTCCAGGCCTGCCTGTATGTGACATACTCGAAAAAAAAAAAAAAAAAAAAAAAAGCAGGGCCAGTCTGAAACATTCTAATTTTTTCTAAT